GTGGGGGGGGGGGGGGGGGGGCTGCTTCCTGAGGAAGCTGGAGCTGGGCTGCTGCAGTCTCCGATAAAGCTGCTTGTTCCTCAAAGGGCAGGCTGGGAGCTGGAGGATACAGCTCATGATATTCCCCAGTCCATACATACTGGGCTTTGGACTGCTCACGGGCATGTGAAAACCAAAGACACAGTGACAATGTAACCCTACTGACCCAGAGATAGCTTTTTCCCAGTTGAAGAGTCCTGGTATCTATAGCTGAGGACAGATGTAGCAGACATCCAGAGTCCAGGACAAAAGGCTCCTTCCAACCCTCAGAAAACATACTGAGGTCGAACTGAGACTAGGCTAGAGGCAAGATGGGGACTCCTACCCACCCCCATTCCATGGACAAAGGCAGTCTCTGTGCCGGTTAACAGTGGGGCACCTCACAAAAGCACTCTGTGTGCTTGTCCAGAGGGACCCTAGGCTAGCTAGTGACCTCTGTCCTTTCCCCTGGTGAGGGCTTCCTTCTACCCCTTTCCTGTTCCTAAGGGAAATGCCAGCTGTGGCAGAGCCTGGGCGCACAATTGGAAGCATTGCCATCCTGCCTTCGTAGGAACACACACACACAAACAAATCCAGCAACACCCTCACATGTGTCCACACGCACATCCACGAATGTTCACATTGAGGAAGATCGTTGCTCTCCCATCTGGCACACAGATGTGTGAACTTGATCCCTCCATGTTCACACACCAGGGTTGCCCAGACCTTGCTGTACTCATATCTGTAGCATAAACAGTCTTCTATAGAGCTGAGACCCACACTCATGGTAGCAAGCCTGCTGCCCTTTAACTTGGCTTGAGGTGGACAGAAAAGGGCTCTATAGAAGGAAGCTAGACTCCTTTCTGGGGCTGAGTCTATGGTCACCCCTCCTTACTCCCTCCCACCAGGATATTATTGAGAAGGAGGGGACTGTGGGGGATGTCTGGCTCCACTAATGAGTTAAAGCTGCAGCTCCCCCAGACCCTGGACTGCAAGGGGGTTGGGGGTTATGGCTGATGGCTATTTCCTGTTTCTGACAGGTCCCAGCCTGGCTTCATAGCAGGAAGGGAGCTAAACGGAGTCTAGAGGATTCCCCCATAGTCTGGGGCCTGGAGAGAGCCCACAGCCAGAGAGAGGACTGTTTGTTGGCTGGGAAAAGGGAAAACTCAGGTCTAATGGGAACAAGGGTAGGGTATCAAAGGCTCACCAACTGGAGGGCTGGGGCAGAAGGCACTGATCGTATGAAGTAGTTTTCAGCCAGGTGCAGATAGCTTCGACGAAAGGTACTAAGGGGCCGTGGCCCACTTACCACCTTATACAGCTCCAGGCCCAATAAGCCTGCCACAACTGCTGTACTGGTGGCAATGGCTGGGATTATCCGGCCCACAATTTGCTTGATCTGTCAAGGACAGGGCATTTGGTCTGGGCTCAAGGTTTCGGACTAAGATTTGGCTCTCACTTTCAGGTCTGAGCCCCAAAGGGGTGGAGTTACCTGAGCATGGTTAACTGGTAGGATTCCATAGTTCTGAGCTCTCAGATCAGTCGCTGCTACCACAAAGTCCACATGGAAGTTGCTGTCATCATTCTGCCAGGCCCAAGTCACAGTAGTGTTAGCAGTGCAGTGGCACCCCTCCCCATGGCCAGCTGGATGCCACTGGCTGGTCTCTGTACAGTTTTGTGGGTGGGTATTTATCATCTCCCTGCTTTGTCACACAGTGCAATGGAGGTGCAAGGAGAACGAGCTACCACCATGGCCTTGAAGGAGGGAAACTTGGGTTCTTGGACTACTCCAATTCCTGACCTTCCCACAGCCCAGATCATCATACCCGCTTGGGGTCCTACCTTCTCAAACAACACAGGCTTCAGCCGAGGGCCCTTGCTCCAGTCTCTCAGAAGTTCCTGTAGTTCCTTCAGCTGTTCCGGGCCTGTCAGGGGAAGAGTATGGGAGCAGTCCTTAGTTCATTTCCTGTACTCTGGAGCCTGTGTTCATCTTTGGTCTCTGCCTAACCTGCCATTCACTGCCGCTTGACCAAATCGAGGAGGAGTCCCTCATCAATGCCGCAATCTGCTTCCTTGCAGCCCTGCTCTTTACCACCTGTGATTACCTCTGTGGCTCTGTCCTCACCTGGGAATCACAGCTAGGCGCTCTGTAGAACATTTCAAATTCTCAAAGTCTCTCAAGAGAACTTTGGGATATGTTCTCAAGGGATATGTTTTAGGCAGCAGAAAGAGGACTTACTGAGGGACTAGTGGACAGAGATAAACTAAGCAGCAAAGTAAGAGGCCCAGAAGGGGCTGAGAGATGGCTCAACAGTTAAGAGCACTTGTTCTAGTAGAGGGCGCCAGTTCAGTTCAAGGCAGCTCACAACTGTCCCAAACTCCAGTTCCAGGGCATGAATGCCCTTTTCTGGTGTCTGTGGGCACCAGGCACACATGTGGTGCATAGATACACATGTAGGTAAAATACTCATACATATAAGATAAAAATTAAATGAACAACAACAAACCCAAAGAAGGCCAGAGAGAGGAAGCAAGTTAGCTTTAGGTCTTTCAAGCCCCATCTGCCTTTTGAGTACAGGCTGAAGACGGGGACAAGCCTAGAAGGAAGGACTGTGTAAGACTGGAACTCACCAAACTCAGCGGCAGTAAAAGCACCATCAGAGATGAGGCTCTGGTGCATGGAAGCAGGCTCTGGCAGCAGCTGCAGCAGTTCCTTGAGTGCAGTCTGGTCATGTGAGCCGAGAAGCCCATGCATTTGTGCATACAGGTTGGCAGCTGCCAGCACGTAGAGGAAATGCATGTCCTAAAGCCAGGCAGAGAGCAGGAACAGATTCATGGGTACATGAGATGGGGTTCATTGCCCTTTGATGACTATGTCTGAATGCCTGACTGTCAAGTACAGACACCCACATTTGCACAAGCATGGCTCTCTTAGCACCTGTGCATCTTAGCAGAACGCAAAGGCGACGACCTCTACTCTAAGAGGACTCATGTCTAAGGACTCCACTCACTTGGTTGGGGTCAAATTGCAAGGGCTGTGGACAGCTTTTGGATCCTGACCAGAACAGAGTTCCATCCTTAAGTACCTAAGGAAATAGAGGCTGCTGGGCTCAGTCTGGTCTCCTAGAGCCATCATCTGCCCCACCACTGACCACCTACTTTATCAGGTGGGAATTGCCTCAGCAGCTCTACAATGCCATCATGGAAGCATAGTTGCCAGTGGCCTAGAGCCCACACCACGCAGTCTTCCCAGGTCTTTGGGCGCCTTTTTAGGACACCCATCACTTGCTGCAGTAAGATTAGCGTTTGCGTCCTATCCATGCCCGACAGGGAAGTGCATGCCCTGCAGAAAGAGGAGGAGGTTTGAGGCTGAACTCTGTGCCTGGAGTCCTGGACTCCTCCCTTCCTGCTTTTGGCCTTACTCTTGGTAACAGTTGATGGTCTCTGCAGATCGGCTGAAGAGTCCCTCAAATTCATCTCGGGCCCACTGTGGGGGAAGGGGGACGATGAGGTGCTGGATGAA